ATGCTCTTTTACTTTGGTGGAAGTATAAATTGGTGTAGCAACATTGGAAAATCGATAGTATCTTCCAAACCTAAACATGGGTCCATCATAGTAATTCTGCTCACATGCATCTTCACCAAAAATGTGTGACTATGTCTGGCAAGTCATAAACAAGTATTACTACAGTGATATTTTGGTTTTTAGCTCCAAACTAGAAATAGCCCCAGTTTTCTCAGCAGTAGACTGGGTAAATAGTGATGCATTTACAAAAAGGACTACTATACAGCAATAAACACAAAGAATAACCACCCAATTTGGGTGAATTTCTCAACATACTATTCAATAAAAAAGGCTAGGCTTAAACGACTATATTACTGCAATATTCTATTTATATAAAATTCAAAATCAGGCCATAGTAATGTAGGTATTGGAAATCAGGAAAATAGTTCCCCACTTAGTTGTGAGGTGGGCCATGATTAGGAGGAATGGAAAAGCTTCCAGGGTTGTAGCATTGTTCTATTTTCTGATCTGAGAGCTCACTACATGTGTTTGGCTACTTTGTGACAGGCATTGATTATGCCTTTGGAATTTATGTATTTTTATATCTCATCCCAAAGTCTACATTAAAATAAAAGGCTTGGGCCAGTCACAGCTCATGGGTAGAGTCCTTGTCCAGTAGGCCCAAGGCCAGAGAAATGTCTGTTTACCAAGGTCGACTAAAATTCCCCAAGTTATTTCTAGTCAGTGCTGCTAGAAAGGTATGCAGAGGAAAGTAGAATTGGGAACACGAGGCGATTTATCCTCATGACTCCAGTACTGTTCCTGACAAATTCTATTATACATAAAGGCACGATTTAAGCATAGTGAGGTTGATGGTACGTTGGCCTGCTTGGGGAGCCATACAAGTACCTCACACTGGGTGGCTCACGTGACAGATATTTACTTTTCACATTTCTGGAGGCTGGCAGTCCAAGGTTAGGGCAACAGCATCTCGGTGGTGTGTGGCTGGGTCCTGGTGAGGCTTCTCTTCCTAGCTTGCAGATGGCCACTTTCTCGTGTTTTCACAGGAGGGATGCTGTGGGCACTTTCTCTTCTTCTTACAGTGTCACAGTTCTTTCGGATTGGGATTAGGACTCTTGCAAACTAATTTAACCTGAATTACCTCCTAAAGACTCCATCCAGATACAGTCATATGGGAAGTGAAGGCTTCCACACACGAATTTTGAAAAGTCACAGTTAGGGGAGCCAGGTATTTCACAGTATTGCATAGGCTACAATTTTTAGTAGTCATTATCTCTGTACAACTGCAGGCTACACTCTTATTTAGATTTTCCTTTACTCTGCTTTATAGAACAGTTGGCTGTGCAACTATTTCCCTCTTTCAACAAAACTGAGTCCTCTTGGGTGCATTTCTATAATACTTTTGCTGGGTTTTCTCTAAGGTATCATTTCTGTTCTTAGCACAATACTTTGTATATAAACGGATCCATCCTTAATGTTTGTTTCATATTGGAGTTGGGGGAAGTGTTTACACTTTTTACTGCTCTATCTTTATTTGTGTATTTTAATTAAAGAGGAAATGAGGGTTTGAATTCTTTTCAACCTTTTTCAGAAAGCTAGAGAGGAAACATGAAGAGGGCTTTGTGGGAATGTTGGTGATCTGTTTCTTGATCTGGGTGGCAATTATACAAGGAGGTTCACTTTCCTGTATATATATCATCAATCACTACACTTATTATTTCCACACTTTACATATCATATGCTGAGTAAAACATGTAACATGTGTATACTACATATATATCATATATCATAAGATGCTATGTTAGTGTGAGATTTTAGAAATAATTATGCTCACATATTACTTGTTTGAATAAAAATTAATACCATCTCCTTGGGAAGAGATTGAGACAAGTTAAGAAAACTGAAAAGACATTTACCTTCTGTCTGAGCAATGGCCAGTGTAGAAATGAACCCTACACCTCATTATAACAAGAGAAAACATTGTCCAGTTGTTCACTGCAGTGTTTATAATAATAAAATTTTTTAAAAAGAAGAATAAATAAATCATATATTATGCAATAGAATATTATTTAGCAATTGGTTAGATCTGTATCCTAGAAGGATCTTCAGGTTGAAAAGCAGGTAGATGCCTTGTTTATGACAGATGTACGCATCTATAATTTGCTTGCTGTTCACAGGGCACCTCTAGAAGGTACCCAGGTAACTGGTAAAGTGGTTGCTCCTGACAGAAGAAGGGTGAAAGGAAGCTTATTTTTCACTGTATACCTTGCCTGTTTTGTACACTACAAATTTTATATGCACATGTAATGCATTCAGAAAAACTAGTAGGTGGGTTTTGCTGCTCTCTTCTTCTCACTCTTATATGGGGTCTCACTAAGCATCCCATAGTTGATGCATTTACCTTTCCTTTTCTTCTAGCAGCCTCTAAATCCATCCCATGAAGCTACAGTCAGACACTCTTCCATGCTATTGAGCAAAGTACGTAGGTCACTCTTCTGCCAGTGACCTTATTAATTGAGTTTAGACCACAAGAGAAATTGAACACAGTCTTTAAAATTCAAAATCCCTTTGTCCTTTTTAGTTCGTCTCCTCCCAGGAGGCAGGGTGAGTGTGAAAGGCAAGTGTTCCATTCGTCTTTAGTCAGGTTTACAAGTGCCATACCCTGGTTGTCAAACTAAAAGGAGAGGGAAACTTGAGAGGCATGAATTGAATTGCAAAAGAGGAAATAAGTTCAGTCTCATAGGTGCCCCCACATTTGTGACAAGCAGATTTCAAGAATGGAGGTATTATCTCAATAGCTTAAGTATCCTGAGTGTTTGGGGGCCCTAAAAAACAAACAAAAACCTCCACAACAGAATGACCAAAAGTAAGGCAGGAACAAGCACCTTTGAAGAAACCAAGCCTCCTTGCCAAATATTCTGATGCCCTCTGCAAACGATGGAAGGGGGCACAAGGGCAGGAGGAGATAGTGAGGGCACATGTCAAGCAACAAGGCCAAAATCTTTGTAGAGATGTTTTGAAAGGCAAATTCAGAGCCAAGAAAACTTGGATTCAATGGTACTATTTTATCAGCTAATACAAAGACCCAAACCAGAATTCAGTGATGACTTCATCCAGATAATTCATTTTAGTATGATATATCCTAGGCAGGGTCTAGAATTAAACACTCCATCTCCTCCTAGATCTTTTCTCCACCTTTGTCTCCTTAAAAGCCTAGACTTTGGTGGGGTGTGGTGGCACTAAAATCTCAGCACTCTGGGAGTCACAGGCAGGAGAATCAGGAGTTTGAGCTCAGCCTGGGCAAATCAGTGGCTTCAGTAAGATTTTACCTCAAAGTTTTAAAAAAGTATTTGAGAAAGGTTGAGGATGTAGTTCTGTACAAAGGCCCTGAGTTCAATCCTCAGTACGGGGTGTGCGTGCTTGACCAGGCCACACAGGGCTCTGGAGCAGACCAGCTCAGTCAGGGTCCTTCCACCGTTAGGAGCTTTGGGAGCTGCGTTCGGGCAAGTTATTAACCTTTCAGTGCTTCAGTTTTCTCACCTTTAGAATGAGGACAATACCTACCTTGTATGGCTGTTATGGGAATTAAAAAGCATTCCAAAGAGGGCCTGGGATGGAGGAGATGTTACATAAGCGTTGGCCATAATATTGATTATTGTTATTTCTGCTGTCTGCATCAGAGGGAATTTTTTAAGTGGGAAAGAACCGCACCACCATGGGAGGAAACTGCATTCCAACATTTGTTTGGCCCTGAGTGCCTTAAGAGGTCGGTACCTCATAAAGAGAGCTGTCCAACCACTCGGCTGGTGGCAGGTAAGAGCTCCCTGGCTCAGGTGAATACAAACCGGGGTGACCTGAGCGGCCATGGATACCGAAGGCAGATTCATGTGCGGAGTGGAGGGAGGGCCAAGAGGACCTCCGAGGGCCCTGATAACCTCTAACTCTGGGCTCTTGTACACTGGCAGCCCCGGGGCGGTTACGTTGCTGAGCTTCCTTCTTGGCTTCATCTCTTCATCTCAGAATGGTCCCACCAGCTCAGTCTAGACTTTAGTGCACCAGTATAGGCAAAAGGACAAGCTCTGGTGTCACAGCCATGACTTCTAAAAGCTCAAGTTTAGAGTGGACCTGAAAATGCCACCGTAGAAGGGAACATTTTTGTCCAACAAGATTACAAGCCCCCAGACAGGAGAAGAAATCCGTTTGGGCGCAAGTGTGGGGGTTGTGTGTGTGTGTGTGCGCGCGCGAGCGCGCGAGTGTGTGGTGGGGCTATCCGTTGTCAACACAGTTCCCTGCTGCTAAGGCAAAAGAAGGTTGTCAAGACTGGGTCGGGGCGCCCACCGCGTCTCGCCCAGTCGCAGGGTGGTGCTGGACGCACACGTGCTCTGGCTGGCAAAACAGCCGCCCTCTGCAGGGCGCTTCCAGGGCCTTTGACTTTCCTGGGCAGCTGGGAAGGACCGTGCTGCTTCCCTTTTAATTCTTTCCTCTTGGTTTATTTATCGTATCCGCTTTCTCCTCTGGCTGTCTTGGAGGTCAGAGCGCCGATGTCCCAAGGAACTTGCATCCCGGGTCTCCCCTGCTGACAGGGCTGTGAAACCGGCCCGAGGAGCGTGGTCCCCACTCCCGGGGAGCAGAGCCAGGGAGGGAAAGGAGTCTTCCCTGGCCTGGAAGTCAAGCCCGGATCCCCCCTCTTCAACAGGCTTTCTCGGTCCTCTTCCAGAAGCCAGGGCACCCCGGGGCTCCGCGCCCCCCCACCCCCCTACCTCAGAGAGGCCCCACTCCTCAGAGGGGCCCCAGGGGCACCCTGCTCCCCCGAGCCGGGCCCCTAATCTCCACCCGGCCTTCCTGTCTGTCGGAGTGGCCCGGCCTCAGCTCTCCATCTGCACTTCTTAAATCCCATTTATCTTCTTATCGCCCCAGACGACCCCCCCCCACACTAGCAAATCACAGACACACCCGCTCCACGTCCCTGGAGAGCTCCTGAGGTGTAGGAAAAGTCGCTAAACTGGGCGGAGGCGACCTCATGGGGCTCGGGGGAAGGAGGGCCCAGCCGGGGGAAAGGGAGGCGTCCCAAGAGTTCAGGGTGAGGACCGTGGCAGAGGGTCCCGGACGCGCGACCACCGGGCTCCTGCCCCGGGTTTCTAGTGGATGAAGTTGGCCCCTCCCAGACCCCCTATCTGGGTCACCAGCTGGGAAAGGCTGAGCCGAGGGTCGCTGGACTTGGTGAGGGGCGGGCTGTGGGCTCCAAGGTGGGCGCAGAGTGAACTGTTTCAGGCCTGCTTCTCTCACTTGCACTCGATGGTAATTCCATCCCCTGCGGGTCGAGCCTCCCTCCCTCTGGCCGCCAGGCCGTCCCTCCTCTCGGCCTCCACCCCCTCCCGCAAAGCCCTGCCGCTCCAAGCCGGCTTTGCTCCTGCTCGCTGACCTCCCTCCCGGCTGCTGGCTCCCCGTGACTCCTGGTTCACCCCCCGCGGCCCCCCACCTCCTCACCCACGTCAGTGGATCTGCAGGTCCGCTTCCCTCACGCCCCCCAGGAGTCGCCTTTGCCCAGTGCGCCCGGGACTTGGTGAAACTTTGCAGGCTCGGTGGTGAAATGGATTTAATCCGAGGCGTCTTGCTCGGGCTCTTGCTGCTGGCTTCCAGCCTCCGTCCAGGCGCAGCGCCGTTCCCTGCCGCTCTCCGAAAGCCAGGTAATGCACTCCGTCCGCCCTGGGGCACCACGCCCTGAGCGCCCCTGTCCTGGTGCTCCGTGAGTACGCCAAGCGGACAGCGCACCACCTCTCAGTCCCCTGACCAGCGCCAGCTTAACTGGCTTCAGCTCTGCCCAGTGCTCAGCAGAGACTAGAACCTCTCCCACCCTCAGCCCATCAGTTCCGGGGATATTTGTTTTTGAAAAGAAATGATTTATTTTCCAGACCTGGAGAAGTGGAGGGCTCTGCTTTTGACCACAGAGAGCTAAGAGTTGGGGCGCTGATCATGCTGTCTCAATTACACAGGATTGCGACTGTGCGCAGGAGTTCAGCAGCTCCTCCTGGGTCTCTGAACATCATATTGAATTCATATTGCCTAAAGCCCAGCCCAGCCATTTCCTGTTAAGAGTCTGAAGGTTCAGCTGGCCCAGTGCCCCTGCCCACTCACTCTGTAGCAGTGGGGGCTCTACCCTTAGGGTCCTCTTCCGGCCAGGGGCTGTTGATACTGAAGAAGAGAACCCACTGTATTAATTCGGTCCCGTTTGAACTTCTATCTTTGCTCTGATGTTGAGATAAAAATGTATGCTATGTAGGCTATTACAAAGGATTGGAGAGGACTTGAAATGGCAATAACTTGTATTTCCTCTGGTTCTATAGGTAATAATTCTCTACGTTTCTACTTTCATTTGGACTGAATTGTGAGATTATTTAAAATAGAACATTCTAAACAATAAAGTTCTAAACACTGTTTCCAAATAACGATTTTTATTCTTCTTTACTAGGACCATATTTAGAATTCTGAAAAAAAAAATCTGTTTTTTCTTAGCTTACTTTGTAAGCGAGGTTGTCTTATGGGATTAATTATATCTTTATGAACAATGGAAAACAATAAAATTATTTGAATGCAGTCTGCAAAGCCTCACAGAAAAAGCGCAGCTCATCTTCACGAATGTTTCTATAAGAAAGCAGCAAACCAGGGAAATTTTATCAGAGGGCAAAGAAAATAATCTTGGCAGGTTCCCATTGGTCTGCTTAAACATTTTCACTGCCCAGATATTTAGCTGTAACATGACTTGTTGCCTTTCAGCTCTGAGAAATATCCTCAGTCTTCAGATTGTATCTGTTGTCACATGTCAATTTTTACCTGATACGCACTACACTTAAATTATAAACTGTTCCGTTTCCACACTGTTCAATTCATTTTGGAGGCAACAGCAACAGTCCAAGGTAGTATTTTATTAAATTGTTTCTCTTCCTGCAGCCCACATACTTTCAAGATTTCAGTAAAGGTCTTCATTCTAACTTTATTGCTTAAGAGAACCACATCATGCTCAATAGTAATCTGTAAGTTTCTTCACCTAAAACCATCTAGTCCCAAGGTTTGAATAATGCATAAATGTATCTATAATTCTTAAACCTGAACGGAATGTGCCCGTTTTTACAAGATAGATTTCACCCCATTTAAGCAGAGTGTTAAAGTATTTTACAAAAGACAGCTGTATAAAACTGCTCATGTGGTTCACCGTGTTTCCTTATTTATTTTGCTGTTTTTCTCTTAAATATATTCTCTGCTTGGTTCATTCATGATCTTATTCTTGAATTCATGCCACGACTGTGTCATGTTGGCCTCTGATTTTATTTGTGGCACAAGTAAGATTTTGATAGTGGCAACTCTACATTTTAAATATTTTTGGCATATTAAATACATCACATTTGAAGTAGAAGGCATGTTTAGACTACGTTCTGCCAAGAAGAGTTTTTTATTACTTTATAATTTTATCCAGACTCTGACTTTCAGGTTGGAAAGCTGCTTATGTTAAAATGACAGCTACTTTATAAACTTCAGGGGAAATTTCCCTCCTGGGCCCATTCGCATCCCATAAAAAGACTAGTTTTTGATCCGGAAAATTGGTCCAGATTAAAAACTGAATGTGCCCTGCTTGGCTCTGATGTGAACAGCAATGAGCTAATTTATAATCTTCCCTAGACACCAGCGAATCCTGCTAGCATCCATATGGGAGTGTCTTTGTACCTTGTTTCCTCCATAGAAATTGGTTTGGGTGCAGTACTTTGAAGGTAGCTTGGCCTGGCCCAGGCATTCCAGAGCAATCTGGTTTTGTTTGGATAGGCTTCCCTGTCTCCTTATGCCCCTGAATCTATTTCTGATAAGTACAGCTTGGTTGAAGTCTTGGATTCAAATCAACCTGAAAATTCCCCATCCCACCTACCTCTTGTGAGGAAAAACAGAAGCCCCAAAACAGGTAACACTTCAAATATGAGCACCTTTCTCCCAGCCCAAGAGAGCTCATGTTCTGGCACTGAAGAAGTGTAAAGAAACCTTCTGTGTTTGCTAAGACTCACGAGAAATGGCAGTTTTCAAATGAAGTCAAAATAAATAATAATAACCAACACTAACTAAGTGTTTGCTACTCTATTCTGAGAATTTGAGTCCTACTGATTTCTTTACTTGACAGCATCACCTCTGTCAGATAGGTAGGTAGTATTATTATTCCTCTTCTACTAAAGGGTACATTATGGCTTACAGCTATGAAATATCTTACCCGAAGCCACACATCTAGTGAGTAGGGGAGTGAGAATTTAAGCTCTGATATTCAGGACTGGAACCTGAGTCCACAGTAGCCCTGTTCACAGGGATGTGTATCCTGTCCTGTAGGGTGTCTTCCTCAAAGTTAAAGAGAGGGCTCCCAGGGCTCAGAGCTCTGAGGCCAGGAGAGGCCATATCCCTGCTGTGCGTAAGAGCTTGCATTGCTCATGGGATATGCCTAGGCCTCCAGACAGTGGGGTATGTGTTGTACCCACACAGGGTTGGGAGCTACTGTGCACTAACCAAGGGTGTGGCCTTATGCAGTGATGATGAACTACTTGCTTTCTCTTGGCCTGTGAAGGCCAGAAAGTCCACTAGAGAGTTTGGGGGTAGCAATAAGGGCCTCTATTAAACAGTTGAGAGGACAGAGGGCCAGTAAGTCTATACGATCATCACAGTATTATTTCCTGAGTTCTCCGTGGTATGGAAACACAATTTGTAGGAAAGCCACCTTATTCTTTTTCTGATACAAATAGAAGAATATAGACCTAGAAGAAAATGAAACCGACTCATCATTTTGCAACTAGGCTAAGGGGGATGAAGTTACTTGCCCAAGTTAACACCAGAAACTATGGGTGGTATACATAGATCTGTTTTCTCTCTACAAGGTTCTGACACTAGTTCTTTAGGCTGATCCTGCTGTGGCTCACTTGAGGATGATGCCAAGCATTCAGACTAAGCGAATGGTACTGGGAGTTGGGGGCTTGCTGAGTTAAAGGCCAGTGCTTCCCTCTAGTCCTGTACCCTGGCTTGCACTTTATTTAGATAGAATTCATGGCATAAATTAACACTCTTGCTCATATAGAGAGGCTGAAGAATGCATGTACGTCCCACCTTTCCTCCTGCCTGTCCAGTTTTCCAGGGGGTCCCAAGATCAATGGGTCAAGTCAAGTTCAGAGTAAGGTTTTTCATGGAAGATGTGGAAGGTACATATTCACCTTGAGTGAGATACACCCCCTTAGTCTTTTTCTTTCCACTTTTCCAGCATTTCTCTAGCCCTATAATTGATGAATATCTAGGAAAACTCTGAAAGGAAAAAACAAATGGCTGGAGTTAGCTCATGGACAGTGTAGCTTGTTGGTTGATGGTAGAGAATACATGTAATTCTAGGTGGTTTCTGCAGCTGCTGGTGTAAGGCTGAATGGTTAAGGGGTCAGGGGCCAAGAGTTAGAGGTCATCCTGGTCTGCTTCTCCAAATGTTACCCTGATCAACATGGAATTCACAAGAGACTCTTTACTTTCTCTTATAGCTCTTACCAAGCCCCTTTCCAAAGCATATAACTTGGGAAACTTAACTCTTCTGGATATCTCTCCTTAGTACCTTTCTAGTCAACAGTACTCCATCACAGTGCTGACCCAGATTGTCTTGTTTTTTGAGAGAAACTGGAGATCACAAAGGTCATGAGAGAAAGAGAGAGAGAGAGAGAGAGAGAGAGAGAGAGAGAGAGAGAGAGACATACAGGGCTGATATTTGTAGCCCCATGACAGTGACATATATATGTGTGTGTGTGTGTGTGTGTGTGTGTGTGTGTGTTATAGATAGCTAGATATAGATACATTCCTCCCAACGCCTACCTACTAGTGTTATATGAAATTCAAGAACTATGGCAGAAGAATTTTTACTTTTCCTTCCCTCTTAGTTCTTACATCATTTCTCATCTCAGTAAAGAACATCACTCTTTCTTCTCTCTCCCTCCCTCCATTATTCCCTCCTTCCCTCCCTCTTTCCCTCCTTCTCTCTCTTTTTTCTTTTCCCCATGATTCTCTGTGTGGTAAAGAGGCAAAGAAGTCCAGGTCAGGGGTCAGTGTAGTTTGATACAAGGCAGCACTTGTTTTTCAGAATTCTTTCTCCAGGAAGAGTCACGTGGCCAGAAAACGGAGCAGTGTTTTTTGCTTTCTAATTTTGTTTTCTTAGCCAGAACTCAGAGCTTTAATAACCTTAGAATTCTTTTGGGAATAGATGTCCATCTGTTCATGGATTACTATCACCCAAAAGCGGTCCAGTGATTAGGCGCTAGAATTATGAAAGACAGGTTCCCAAGTGTCTGCGGCTGAGGTGGGCCTCAGCTTCCACATGCTGTCCTGTGAATATGTTGTATCCCTATACCCCACTCACTAGGCTCTTAGGTCCATGGCTTTCCCCAGCTGGCTAAATGAATAGCATCAGGTCTTGATTGCAGCAGAAAACCTTTAGAATTGGTCAAGACCCCTGCATCTAATCTGGGTCCCTGACCAAGAAGGCTCCATATATTGGAAGCAAACCTGCTGCTTCAGGGATAGAAGAAGTGAAAAAGGAGAAATCCTGAGTGGCACTTTGTAGGGGAATCCCAGATTCATCTTTGATTCCATTTGTGGTGAGCCTGTTTTTTTTTTTTTTTTTTTTTTAACGGAGATT